CGGTTAGAGTTTGCGTACCGGTGGGCATGGCTGGCAACACAGAACAGCTGGACTCTAAACCCTAAAATAGGTTTTCGAGGTGCCGTGCTAAACCCTAATTTAGGGTTTAGCAGCAAAGCAAGTACGGGCACCGGGGATCGAACCCGGGATCTTCTGCGTGTTAGGCAGACGTCATAGCCACTAGACCATGCCCGCGGAAGCAGCAGCAAAACCCTAAACCCTGGCTGTGGGCAGCAGCTAAACCCTAAACCCTAGCTCTAAACCCTAATTTGGGGTTCCTGCATCCAGACAATCGTCTAAGGAGCTCTAAAACCCTCAAATGAAGATGAAAACTTCAATAAATGCAAATTAATTAATTTATTTATTCTTTTATTGTCTCAACTTCTCATTTATCTGTTTTGAACGCAAATGCAGAAGGCAGCGCCTGCATGCAGCGCGCAGAGGAAGAAATAAACTTTTTTTTGCATTTTTAATTTGTTTTTTATTATTTTAAATTAAAATATTAATTATTTTTTATTTAATAAATCAATTTGTTTTTTAATTTCAAATAAAACGCGCAAAAAGCGGAAAACAGAAACCCAGCAACAACAACCCCACCCCTCGTGGAGGGTTTCGGGCCCCACGGCTTCTTTTTTGCTTCTTTTTCTTCTTTTCTGTCTTTAAAATGAAATATTTATTTTATTTTTTATTTATAATTAATTAAAAAGAAAAAACAAACTCAAAAATGCCCCTGGAGCTCCGTTTGCTCGCGCTTGGCGGCAGCGGCACGTCAAACCCTAAACCCTAAACCCTAAACCCTAAACCCCAAACCCTAGACTGGTGGTTTTTGCCTCTGGGAAAACCCAAAAGCTGAGAAGGAGCTGTTTGACTTATTGGCGAGCTTCTCAGGCATATGTACACCTAAACCCTAAACCCTAAACCCTAGGACGTAAACCCTAAACCCCGATTCGGCGTCTTGCATTTTCTTCTTTTCGCAAACCCTAAACCCTCGAAAATGGGTTTGCTGCTGAAGCACCGAATTCCAGATGACACGGAAGTCACGGCGGCTGGCCTCCGGTTCTACTATGGTGGGTAAGGGTTTAGGGTTTAGGGTTTAGGGTTTAGGGTTTAGGGTTTAGGGTTTAGGGTTTAGGGTTTAGGGTGGGGGTTTAGGGTTTAGGGTTTAGGGTTTAGGGTTTAGGGTTTAGGGTTTAGGGTTTAGGGTTCTACTATGGTGGGTAAGGGTTTAGGGTTTAGGGTTTAGGGTTTAGGGTTTAGGGTTTAGGGTTTAGGGTTTAGGGTTTAGCAGCACAGCTGCGTCCGCAGACAGCGGTTTCTTGGCTGCTGCTTCTGCCCGCCGCGCGGCTGCAGGGCTTGGGGGCGCAGGTCCGCGGGCTAGGGTTTAGGGTTTAGGGTTTAGGGTTTAGGGTTTAGGGTTTAGGGTTTAGGGTTTAGGGTTTGCTGCAGAGAACTTGTTTCCCTTCGGC